AAAAAAAAAAATAAATAAATAAATTACACTGAAATTCAAACAAAATTTGTAAGCTTTTAATGAGCCGTTATAAATTTTATCTATATATTTACAAAATCAATTTTTAATTCATAATTAATAGAGATGGATAGATCGATAGATATTGAAAACGAAATTATAGACCTGTTCTATTGAAAAAGTGTATCAAACTTTGTTATTATTATATGTTATTTATATTCTTATAACAAAAAAAAATTGTTACGCGTGATTATATTAATCTAAAATATCAGAGTTAAATAGGCGTTAAATTTTCTAGTTCCGCAGTGCTATAATCATGTAGAAGCTGATAGATTCCTGCCCTACCTCAGACATAAAAGCCGCTAGATTTCAATACGGTTAAAGCAAAGTTTGAGTAACCGGCGGGAAATGCAGAGACTAATTTTCACCTTCATTTCCATGTACACACTCAGCTGGGCACTGCATTTGGTATCCCAGAAAGAAGGGTACTTTGGAGATTCAACAGAATCTAGTGAGGATATCATAGACTTGAGCGCCTATGGCACAGACTTGTTTGGCGTGCCGGATCCGCTAACAGGTGCTAGGGTAGCCAACTTAAGTGTCGACAGCAATGTTAATCCCGAGGAACTGGGCAGCTACATTGAGGGTGATATTTTGCTGCCATTCCCTGACATTATTACGTTAAATGGATTACCCCAAGTAAGTTATCGTTGGAAAAAGGGCGTGGTACCCTTTGTTATCAAGGATGGTTACAGTAGCAAGGATTTGTCCACCATCAAAACTGCCATGGACGTGTACCACAACCGCACCTGCATCCGATTTGTGGAACGTAGGGGCCAGAAGGACTACATTTCCATTGATAATGGCAACACGGGCTGTTGGTCCTATGTCGGTCGCAAACGCGGGAAGCAAATAGTCAATCTACAGTCACCTGGATGTGTGGGATACGCTGGAACAGTGATGCACGAGTTGATGCATGTAATTGGATTTCTGCACGAACAATCCCGCATGGAGCGTGATAACTATGTGACGATTATATATGAGAATATAATTCCTAAGCACAAGAAGAACTTTAAAAAGGTGGATCCTACCGAGGGCTTCGGAGTGCCCTACGATTACGACAGCATAATGCACTACTCAGCTACATCTTTCTCAAAAAATAAAAAACCAACAATAGTGACAAATGTGAGTAGGACATAGAACAGCAGAGATAATTGTTATAATATAAGAAAAACAATCTTTAACTTACAGCGACCGGAGGACAGCTCTCGAATTGGGCAACGTAAGAAATTTTCCGAGAAGGACATATTGAAAATTAATAAGATGTACAAATGCAAACAGTCAACAGATTCTCCTGCTGATGTTTCACTTTCCACACCTGAGCCAGAAGGCTCAACGGCAACAATGGACAGCTCTACTCTAACTATTCAATCTAGATAATTATTATATATACATATGTATATATGTAAGCTTGTATGTCCAAAATGGCCATCTTCTTGCGCACCTTAGCCAGATATGCCGCAGAATATTCATTAACAGCCACTTATCAAATTTGAAACGTCTCTAATGGTATACATATATATTCCTTTTGTGCAAATCGATAGAGGATGTTAACAGAACTTTAATCTATACGTTTTGAGTTTCTAGCTCTCAAATTGAAGAAATTGCCACACCTCTGTGGGCGAGGTTACATAATATGTGGCCACTTCTTAGAACGAGCAAAAATTAACGTAACTGCAAAATTAGCCAACACAATTTTCGTTCTTTAGCATCCATAGTGCTCAAAATATAGCATAATTTCAAAAATCTCCATATATTCAGATCCGATTTGATTTTTGGCCTTGTTTGAGTTGTCGCTGCAAGGGTCGCCGTGAAATTGGCGACTGCATAGTATGTGATGGCGACCGAGTTGATCGGGCAGATAAAGATGAAGTTGGTGATGAAGATGAAGTTGTTGTGAAGTGACGGCCTGGCAAGTATTTCGCCTGATCCTCCACTAGACCAGCAGCAATAGACTCTCGAGAATACGGAGGTTCAATCAATTTCTCGCTGCTCATGGTTTCCTTCTGTATACGTCTATGTCTTGTCTTTTACTTTTTATATGGTATCGGTCCATAAGCATATGAGCATTATACTCCCTACTCTACATGGCGCTTCGACTTTCTGTCCTAACGAGCTGCCTTTTGTGCTGCTTCCTGTGTATTTGACCTTTTAAACGCCTTAAAGCCCACATAGGTCGATAATAAGCGAACGGCTTTGTTGTCTTTCCACAGTACTTTACTTATCTCCACTCCATATGAGGAACTCACGTACTCAACTGAACAACCTCTTGACTGTTCTCTGATCGCACTATCGCTTGGGAGCTTGCAGGTTGGTATCCGATTTACACGAACTGTTCCTAAACTATAAATTCCTTTTGCACGAAGGTATACCATCAAAGGCAGTGATATGTAAAAATTGTCAAAATAATTTATGTTTGAAACTTTCAACGGTTTTCGTCAAGCGTACAGCTATGTTTGCTGACGTACCAAGATCAGGGTAAACAGGTGATATAGGATTATCAACTGCTCCGCTATATATTTCAAATCGGTAGACATATCCAAAAGAATTTTTTATTTTCTAGTTCCGCAGTGCAATTCAGATATAAAAGCCGATAGTGTTGAATGCAGCTTAAGCTATATTTCCATTGGGAGCAGTTCCACAGGCTGTTGGTCTATTATCGGTCGTTATGGTGGGAAGCAGATAATCAATCTACAGTCACCTAGATGTCTGGGCGGCCATGGAACAGCGATACATAAGCTGATGCATGCTATTGAATTTTTTCATGAGCACAACCGCGAGGAGCGAGACCGCTATGTAACGATTTATTTCGAAAATATAATTTCTAAAGACAACTTTAATAAGGTAACAAACAGCGTGAATTTCGGAGTGTCCTACGATTACGACAGCATTATGCACTACTCAACTACAGCCTTTTCACGGAATAACAAAAGAACATTAGCGCCCAAGGTTAGTTGGACGTAGAAGAATATAGACTAATAACAATAAGAATATATATAAATTTTCTCCTAAGGACTTAAAGAAAATTAACGCGATGTCCAAGTGCAAACGGTCAACAGCGACGCCTGATAATGAAGTTTCACTTTCCACACCTGAGCCAGAAAGCTCAATGGCAACAAGGGTCAGCTCCAGTCTGGACCCTGATAATTCTTTAATCTAGATTATTGTTTAATCTAAGATATATTATTTTATGGGACACGTACACTTATTTCCATAAGTAAATGAATAAATAAAAATCCTGGAGAGCGCAATGCGACACTGGCCGATGCTGCGTAGGCGTTGTTGCAAAAGAATGTTTCTTTTCCAATGGGCCAGCGCAACGGATTCATAGATTTCGATGTGGAGAAACTGAATCACATGTACGACTTTGGGTATGTGCATCATCAGTGGCAGCTCCCAGTAGCATTTCCCATCGTTGATAGTTTCCTCAGCGGCCTCATCAGCGGGTTGAGCCTTGGAGACAGCCATGAAAAGGCCTCGGCAACCAGCTTCAAACCATCACCAACTACGACAAACTATTTAAGGAATTCCACATACAGCCTGAGCCTAGAATTATTTATCACGAATCTCTGCCTGATAAAAGTATTTAAGAAATAAATTAATAACACGAATATACATGCAAAATTTCAGCTCTCTAGCTCTTGTATCTTCTGAGATCGATGCATTCATACGGACGGACGGATGGACAGACGGACAGGGCTATATCGACTCAGCTCATCGCCCTGATCAAGAATATATATACTTTATGGGATCTGCGAAAATTACTTCTTCCTGTTACATACTTTTCAGAAAAGCATTTTATCCTGATTTCCCATTTTCAATGAGTTCAGGGTATAAAACTAAAACTCAAAAACTTCATTAACGTAATTCAAGCTCTAAGCACTCATACTTAAGAGCCCAACTTAAGCACCTGCCAGACCGCATTCTTTTCTTGCGAAATCCATTTGTCCAAAGATCCTCGTTAACAGTCTCATTAAAGATTCATTTTCCATCTAACTCGATCCAGCGTACACTCACATCTTTTATAACATCGTTCAGTCACTTTTTATGTAAAATTGATTCGATTATCATCATTTTTGTTTTCCTATGGCTTAATTATGTATTACATTTTGAATAATTAATTTTGAACTTGATTAAATTTAATCCAAACATGTCACTCCCGCACTCCTATTAGCATTGTGTAATATAACGACAATCTTTTTATGAGGCTGGATTTTCCCTATATTTACTTTAGTCAATTTCAGACAAAATATTCGCTATACCCTGATTTCCCCTTTTTAATAGGTTCAGGGTAAAAAAAACACACATGTTTGGTATAAAGTAATGTAAATACATTTGAAGATCTTTGGGTCTATATATGCTTAGCAGTTTATCATTCACAAAATTTTCGGGTTAAGAACCCCTTATCACCATATCAGCAAGGGCTTCCAGTCTGGAATCTATGCAATGAATCTTACTATACTTAATTTTTACGAGAATAGATAAAATGTGTAATTTTAATCTAAATTATATTGTCATAAATCAGAGTTGAATAGTTGTCATATGATTTAGTTCCGTATTGCTATAGTGATGTAAAAGCTGATAATAGCTGTCGGAGTGATTCCTCCCTCAATTTAGATATAAAAGCAGCTAGAGTTCAATGCAGCTTAAGCAAAGTTTGAGTAACCGGCGAGCAATGCAAAGACTAATTTTCACCTTCGTTTCCATGTACACACTCAGCTGGGCGCTGCCATTGGTATCCCAGGAGGAAGTGTTCTTTGGCGATCCAACGCAATCTAGCAGGGACATCATAGACTTGAGCGCCTATGGCGCTGCCTTGCTTGGCAAGCCGGATCAGGAGCTAACAGGTGCTAGGGTAGCTAACTTAAGTGCTGACAGCGATGTTAATCCCGAGGAGCTGGGCAGCTATCTTGAGGGTGATATTCTAGTGCCACAACCGGCGATCACTATGCGAAATGGCATGGTATCACAGAGCTTACGGTGGCCCAATGGCGTGGTGCCCTATCGAATCGAAGGGGATTTCGATAGAGAAGAGTTGTCCATTATCGAAACTGCCATGGAGGACTATCACAGACGCACCTGCATTCGATTCGTGCCACATAGCGGCGAGAGGGACTACATTTCAATTGGCAGCGATTTCTCGGGCTGTTGGTCTGCTGTGGGGCGCATCGGCGGGAGGCAGAGAGTCAATCTACAGTTACCTGGATGCCTGCGACGCTACGGCACTGTGCTGCACGAACTGATGCATGCACTTGGATTCCTGCACGAGCAAAGCCGCATGGAGCGCGATGACTATGTGATGATTAATTACGACAATATACGCCCTAGAGCATGGAAAAACTTTAGAAAGGCGGACATTTCTGAGGCATTCGGAGTGCCCTACGATTTCGACAGCCTTATGCACTACTCAGCCCGAGCCTTCTCTTGGAATGGGCAACCGACAATAATCACAAAGGTGAGTTGGACGTTGAACAATACAGATAAGAAAATAAATATTCAATTTACAGGAAGCGAAAGACAACATTCGACTGGGTCAACGTTTGGCATTTTCTGATAAAGACTTAGAGAAAATAAATAGGATGTATGCATGCGGTTCTCACTTAACAACTCCGCCTACTGATGTCTCATTCTCCACTCCCGAGCCAGAAAGTATAGACCCTGATAATTGGATCGACTTGCTCATCAGCAGCTGGGGTCTTAAAGGAAGCTTCAAAGAGATTCCAGAAGTAGAAGACTGAAGTGAGCTGAGTGGCCCATAATGTGAGCTAAGTTTTTGGAATTAAACGGAATGGGCTAAAACAGGGTATACTTTATGATTGCTGAGCTCGAATTATGAATACTTTTTATTTTACATGTATAAGTTCTATCATTTTATGGGACATGTAAGCTTATTTCCATAAATAAACGCGCTTGTTTCCATTTCACAAATTTATTTGGCCATGACTTAAAGCGTTTAAAGCGCGGAAAATTGGGTAATTATCCGTGCAATTGATGAGTTAACGGATCTAAACATTTCGTCGGGCAGCCAACATCCTGGAACGCGGCAAGCGGCACTGGCTGATGCTGTGTAGGCGATACTGCATCTCTGGCTGAGTGATCTTCTCGTAGAGTTTCTGCTTAGCCTCCTTGATGGTGTGTATGGCCACTCCATCGCCGCCATCGTCCATGTTGAAGGCCTCGCCCTCGGCGCACTCAGGACATTGCTGGGTGAGCACAATGTCGTTGAGATCGGTGGGCAGCTCACAGATCTTTTCGATCTGCTTCACCACGTAGTCAATGTTGCCCTCGTCCTGGCGCTCGAATACATAAACACTGGCAACAATGTCCTGGACACGCGTCTCTAGTAGCCGAAGAAAGCGTTCGACATTCACAAGATTGACATGGGTATGATCACCCAGCAGCTCTGACAAAGGAGATGTATCCACCGAGCACATATCGCAAAGCATTTCAACACCCTGCAGAAGATTCTCGAGACGCGTATCGTTGTTTTCACGTGTCTTATGCAGCTCCAAGTTTGCGGCTTGCTTCTTGCGCACCTGCTGCTCCAAAGAGCTAATCAAATCAACCTGTCCCTGCAGAGTGGACGTATTCTCGCGTTTCAAATCGATAATGTCCTCGAAGAGGCGATTCACTGAGTTGTTCAACAACGTGATGTGATAGCTCATCTCATTGGCATAGTTGAAGAAGGAGTAATAGAGACTCTCCTGCTGCTGGAACTTCTCGATCACCTCCTCCACATTGCTAGAGTTGGTGTAGTCGAGTATCTTCTTTAACACCGAATTGTACAGATTGATCTTCTTGTTGTGCTTCCGACGGAACTCGTCACGTCGCCTATACTCCTTGGGTGGCAGATCAGCCAAAATTCGCTCCCTGCCCTTGCACTCGACGAACGCAGAGTTATCCGCATCGGCAGCCACTTTTCGCATGATGCTCTGCAGCTCAATGCGTCTCAACTCACGCTCTTTGCTCTCGCGTTTGGTAATTTTGTCGATCTTCTCATAGACATCAATGCAGCCATCGAAGGTGTTCAGCGCATACTCGATGAGATCTATCAGATACTTCTTGTCGCTGTTCAGCTTCTGAACCATCTTAGTGTAGGAGTCATTGAAGAATGTGCGATGATTGAGAATCCGGATAAGCTGTTCTCGCAATTCAGCATTTGCCGCCGTAAAGCCGCATTCTTGCCGTATTCCCACCTCCAAGGAGTTCTCCAAAATGGCCATCTTCTTGCGTACCTTGGCCACGTGTGCCTGGTGCTGTTGCTCCGGCACCGTCAGTCGATTGAGATTGTAAATCTGCTTGCTCACTCGACTGATTTCGCGCTCCATGTTGGTTATGGACGTCTTCAGCTTGGTTATATCCGCGGCTAGATTCTCTTGGCATTCCACATGGCAACGAATCTGGGCCAAGTAGCGCTTGTCCTTCTTCATATGTGTCGAGCCAGCGGCCACCCAGATCTGAGCACGCAGATCATTCTTTTCCTCCTCCAGGCGATCAATGGTATTCTCGTAGCTGGCATCGATGATTGTTTCATTACGTGTCTTTAGCTTACTCGAAAGCAATTTCTTATATTCACGCTGTCGCTTGCCGAGCTCACGGTGCTTCAGCAGATAACCCTCGAGGAAAGCCGTCTTATTGAACGGCTCGTCCGGCTTGTCCATTTTGCTTTTCAAATAGAGAAACTTCCTTTAATTTGAAATTTAACCAAAATCATAAATAATATTCTCAACTCCCTTAAAGTTTGTATGGAATTTCTATATTGTATATATTAATGTTTTAGTAGCTCTGACGCTGTTAAAGACATTCACTCGACTAAACTCAAATTTCGAGTTCAAGTTTTGTGTTTACATACAAAACGAAAGCTACTGGATAATATTAAATTTGACACGTCTTGTGTCAAAAATAAAATAATTATTTCCCTCAATGGGGTAATATTCAAATATAAAACACACTACAAAATCGTAGCTATCTATGTTTTTTATTTCCCGAAAATATACTAAATATGATGAAATAGGATGATAAATAAGAAAATAATCGATTTTATATCGATTTTAATCGATTTTATGAAGGTATGATATCGATAACTTGTAATAAAACAGATGGGGCTAGATTAACCCGACTGCTGACGCTGAACAAGAATATTGATATCTCTTTTATAGAGCTTGACATGTCATCTGAAATTTCAAGTTTTACACGCGCCATTCAACAAGCATTGTTTTTTAAATGGGATTCGCATAGTCTTCATTTACCACATACATCTTAATAGTATATACTTTACATAGAAGCAGAATTGTTTATTGATTATTGGCATAAGAGTTGTATACATCGATCTTCATCTACTACAAGCTTTTGTGAACATGATCATATTTTGTTTACAGCAAATTTTTAATTTTCGATTTTTACATAAACAGACATCAGGAGTCGAATAATATTTCTGTTTAATTTTGTGTGTTTAGCATGCTTCATTCATCATCAATTTTAAATCTTCCATTACGTCCGGTGCTCCGGTGTCAGACACCGGCGAATATTTATACTTGTCATGAAGTTTAGAAAGAAATTAGCTATTTACTGCTGTGATATGCCAGAGCTTTCTAAAGCGCGGAATATTTTGAATATTGAGAAAATATAGGCAGCAGTACGTATGTCATTCTGTAGCTTAAATTTAATTGCTGTCGCCTTAATGCCAGCTCCCGATGACTCCATAACAGTTTGCAGTGCTGCATCCACAATGTCAGCCTCCTTGGCGCAGTCACGTAGCTTCTGAAGGCTTTCGGTTGGCTCGACTTTAGGCTATGGATAAGTCCGAATTTTATTAATAACTCCCCTGAACGTGATCAATACTTGGGATACTTACGATGTCAGGGCACTCACAAAACGATTCGTTGATCGAATTTAGAATTTCGTGAATAAGCTGCGAAGTTATCCTCAAGTTCATCTTACCATAAGATACGTGATTAATGTTCTTCAGGTACTCAAAGTAGGATACCGTTACACCGCCCGCATTACAATAAAAGTCTGGAATGATCAACACCTTCTTCTCCAGTAGAATTTTCTCAGCTGCAGGAGTAGTCGGCCCATTGGCGCCTTCCAGAATTAATTTAGCTTTGATATCCTTTGCGTTCTCGCTGGTTATAACTTTTTGTGTGGCACACGGCATCAATATATCGCAGTCTGCAGTTAATATACTCTGTTTTGTTTCTTTAGCCTTTGGATACCCCTTTATTGTTTTCTTAGTCGATTTAAATTCCATCAGATCCTTTAAATGGGCACATTGGGTAAATACGGTAAAAAGGGGAGCAATAGGAAATACTCACATTAATATCAATACCGTCATTATTAGTCAGTGAATAATCAAACTCCTGAATACCAATTACTTTGGCGCCTGCATCATGAACAAACTTCGCTGCAAACGAGCCAACATTGCCGAATCCCTGGACAATGATCCTTTTGTCTTCCCATCCGGTTTTAAGACCAATTAAATCCATCCACTCTTTATCCTGCAAGAACAAATCGCCTGCCTTCCACACTCCCCGACCAGTTGCGGCAAATCTTCCATTGATGCCACCAATGTGCACGGGCTTTCCCGTAACTATTGCGGCCGCATTGATGTCCTTGTAGCCAAATGTCTTAGTGTACTGGTCCACGATCCAGCTCATCTCGCGTGGACTTGTGTTGACATCTGGGGCAGGCACATCAATGCCAGGGCCGATCATATTGCGCTTCAACAGCTCCATGGTGTAGCGGCGAGTGATTGTCTGTAATTCCTTAACTGTGTACTTCTTGGGATCGATTCGAACGCCACCTTTGGAGCCTCCGAAGGGTAGATTGACACAGGCGCACTTGAATGTCATAATAGCTGCCAATGCTTTCACCTCGTGCTCACTCACATCCATGGCGAAGCGAATTCCTTATTAAGGGATGGGTAAGAAAATAAACTAGTTGGGCGTGTTATCGCACAATACATACCACCCTTAAGAGGCAGACGGTGGCGCACGTGATGGGCCCGGTAGCCAGTTATGATCTCATAGCTGCCGTTGTTTTTGATAATGGGAAAGCTCACCTCAAGCGAGCTAGTTACGGTGCCTATGAGATTCAGAATGGCAGTTACTCGAGCCTGTTTTTCAGCGGGCTTGAAGTGGGCATACTGGTCCAATGACTTGACTAAATCTGCTTCCATAATTTGGGCAGCCCTGTGATAGTTGTACATAACTATATCAGATAAACGGGGGTTCTTGGACGTTTCCACTTTCTTCAGATGCTCGGGCATCTGGTGTTTCTGCCGAGCATTACGATGTCCTGGCGTAACAGAACGCATACTTAAAAATATATTATTAATACTCCGAATCATTTTGACAATAAAAAAGGATCAAATAAAAATATTTGTTGTTAGCCGTTATATAAATATCATACGTTTCGTGAAATATGCATATTTCAAAGATGACTATGTTTTATAAATGTTACAGGTGTTAGGACAGCAACATGATAATATAATTTTATGCCGTGAGCAAATAAATCTGTAGATTTAGTGCTTTCAAACGTACTTAACATTTATTAAAAAATTTACGAAATGATTCTAAGAAATCTATATAAATAATACAAATAATACTGAAAAAACCAACGAACTATTGCTGTGATATACCAGAACTCTCCAAAGCCCGAAATATTTTAAATATGGACCAGATATAAGCAGCAGTGCGCAGATCATTGCACAACTCAAACTGATTGGCCGTGGCCTTAACTCCAGTTCCCGAGGCTTCCATAACAGTTTGTAGGGCCGCGTCTACAATATTTGCTTCCGTGGTGCAGTCACGAATTGCCTGCAGTGATTTGTTTGGCTTGACCAGGGGCTGTGATAAGAGTTCTTGAATGAACGTCCCTGATTTAGGTTTCGCGGCTGTACTACTTACGATTTCCTCAACTTGGCAGTTTAGCGATTCATTGATGGAATTAATAACCTCATGAATGAGCTGGGATGATCTCTTTGACGTCATCTTGCCGTATGTCACATGGTTAATATTTTTCAGATATTCAAAGTAAGACACTGTGACCCCGCCTGCATTACAATACAGATCTGGAACGATCAACACCTTTTTATCCAGTAGAATTTTCTCTCCAGCTGGCGTTGTTGGCCCATTGGCGCCCTCCAGAATTAATTTGGCTTTAATATCCTTTGCGTTCTCGCTGGTTATGACCTTTTGTGTGGCACATGGCATTAGTATGTCGCACTCCGCTGTTATCAAATTTTCGGTGGATTCCTTGGCTTTCGGATAGCCCTTAAGGGTTTTCTTATCTGCTAAATATTGCATTAGATCCTAATAGGGGTGCAAACTCTAGCTAAGAATTAAAATTAAAAGGTCGGTAAACTCTTCAGACTCACATTGATGTCAATTCCATCATTGTTGGTCAGTGAAAAATTAAACTCCTGAATACCAATTACTTTGGCGCCTGCCTCGTGGACAAACTTCGCTGCGAACGAGCCAACATTGCCGAAGCCCTGAACAATGACTTTTTTGTCCTCCCAGCCCGTCTTAAGACCAATTAAATCCATCCATTTTTTATCCTGCAAAAAGACATCGCCCGTTTTCCACACTCCCCGGCCAGTTGCCGCAAATCTTCCATTGATGCCACCAATGTGAACAGGTTTCCCAGTGACAATAGCCGTCGCATTGATGTCCTTGTGGCCAAAGGTCTTGATATACTGATCCAGAATCCAGCTCATCTCGCGCGGACTTGTGTTTACATCGGGAGCAGGCACATCAATCCCAGGGCCGATCATATTGCGCTTCAACAGCTCCATAGTGTAGCGGCGAGTGATTGTTTGTAATTCCCTAGCCGTGTATTTTTTGGGATCGATTCGAATACCCCCCTTAGAGCCACCAAAGGGTAGATTGACACAGGCGCACTTGAATGTCATAATAGCCGCCAATGCCTTCACCTCGTGCTCATCCACATCCATGGCAAAGCGAATTCCTAAATAAAGTGAAACTGAACGAGTTAACTTAAGCGTCTGGAGCTCGGTACTTACCACCCTTCAGAGGCAGACGGTTACGAACGTGATGAGCACGATAGCCCGTAACTATTTCGTAGGTACCATCTTTGCGTATAACGGGAAAGTTCACCTCCAGTGTGGTGCATACGCTCCCTATCAAGTTCAGAATGGCAGAGACACGCGCCTGTTTCTCCTCAGGCGTGAAGTCAAGATACTTGTCCATCTCTTTGACCAAACTCTTCTCCATGATCTGAGCTGACTTGTGATAATAGTAGGAAACCATGTTCGAGAACTCGGGATCCTTGTCTGTTATTACCGATTTCAGATTCTCGGGCATCTGGTGCTCGTGCCGCTGAGGCACTTTAAACAGTACACGGTAAAACCCATTACGGTACATATTTAGTTTCGGGCAATACATTTTCAAGTTTTTGAGCGAAATTAGGAATAATGAAATTGTCAATAATCGTATATATATTTGTATTTTATAATGTTACTTGATGTTATATTATTTTTGGATTTTGTTTTTATTGTATAAATTGCTCTACATAATACGTGGCTACGGGCTACGAGCTAGGCTTAAATATTTTATAGCTATACACAAAAGTAAACATATCTTGAATGGTCAATTCTTAATGATGGAAAACTCTAAGCAGCCAGTTATGAAACAAGAGTAACTAAGAGTATGCTATGTAGAGTTGCACTATACTTAAACAGAGTTTATTGGACATATGAGCCGATATATTTACATATATGGGTCACATGTGGGGTTTTTTTTTTTTTTTTTTCTTGTGTTGCCGTTTAACGTTTTTGGGTTCGCCCGGAAGCGCATAAGTTGAAGGTATATATAAGATACGGGGATCATTTTAGCATTTTATATATGTATCTATAACGTATGTATATATATTTATATAACTTAGTTGTACCAGTAGCACAGGTTACACATAAATATGATAGATCTATTTATAGGCGTTAATATTATAATTAATTATATAATTGTAGCTCTTTAATGATTATCTATGTACACGCACACAAAACACAAGGTTTGCTACATTGTTTAGAACTAGAAAAAAGCGACCCCGTTCGCAAAATGAAAAGTAAAAATTGAAAAATGTAGCTTTTAATATCACTTTGGGGACATGCACTCGTTCTCTTATGGCCTCATTTACGATGATTGCAATTGGAAGCATTTGCAACTTCAATTGGACAACAATCGCATTGCACACAAAACAAAAAAGATTAATTGAAATATTTTTAAGAGTTCAACCCGGATGTTAGCTCCATTCAAATCGCGCTGTATATTTATATACATGTGTGTATATATATATATATCGAAACTGGTTTGCTTGATTCATTGATTTCAATGCTAGAGACTAAAGCTACTTCTACTTAATGGCTAAGCTTAATGTTAGCGTATTTTTAATTAATTTCAAATTAATTCAAAAGTCTAAATTTTTACATAATAATTACAAAGTGATTACGACGCCCTAAACACACATACACTAATCTCGTAGCAAGATCGCAGGTAATGCTGCTGCTTAAAAGTTAACATCACGCTTGGAAACAATAATTCTCAAAAGCATCTTTTCCCGTTGAGTACTATAATTTGTGGCCTTTCAATCGCACTGCAGATCATATCCATGGCTCAGCCGTTCACCGAGCATTTCAAGCAGCCTCTGTGCTGCTCGACTGTTAGTCCACGTCCTTTTTCTCAATTTTTAAGTCGAACTTGGCAACTAACTCTTCCGGCGTGTGTCTGCAGATGGATGAAAATAAAGGATTTTGTTAGCTTTTATTTTGGTATACAAATATTCGCATCGAGTACTTACCCAACTAGATTTTGTAGATCGCAGACAAAGCGATAGACGTAGCGTTTGCCGGCCGTCTTGTGTATGATGTTCTTGTCGTAGTAGTAGCGCAGACCGCGGCTCAGTTTCTCGTAGTTCATTTTGGGCTTGTTTTTGCGTATGCCCCAGCGACGCGCCACCTAGCGGAAGGTAGATGTAATATATCGGAATTAGTAAAGATTTTGATATTGCAAATCATTTGCTGTACACCTACCTCATCGGGATCGGTCAGCTTGAACTCCCAGCCATCGCCTGTCCACGAGATAAAACTCTGGCATGTTTTATCGAGCAGAAGCTCCAACAGGAACTGCCACAGCTGTATGGGTCCGGAGCCCGTAAAACACGGTACACCGCCCTGCGTTGTATAGCCGCCCAGCAGCGTTTTGTCCAGACCCAATGTGGTCATATATGCCGCCGGATGCTGATGGGCGTGTGCGCCCCATTGATCCAGGTTCGGCTGGGCGCCCATCGTTGGGAACTGGGCATCGTACGGCGTAAACTCTGACTGGAAGGGCTCATGGAACCGTGTCCGACCATACGCATTGTAGAAATCGGGACTGCTGTCCATGTAGCCACTGCTGTTGGTGCTGCCGCTGCCGTTGCCAGCGCTGGAGGCTTGGCTCTGATGTTCCTGCGCTGAAAGTGTGCTGTGATAGTCGCTATCATCGCCGCCAGCAGCCGAAGCGACTCCACCGCCTCCTCCGCCACCGCCGCCGCCCGGGTTGCCACCACCGCCACCGCCGCTATAGTGGCCAGCGGCTGCGGCCAGATGTGCGGGCAGACCGTAGCTGCTGAGATCTGTTGGATCGTTCTGAGCGTTTGATGCGTAGGCGCCGTTGCTGCCATTGCCTGACTGAGTGCCCGGCTCCTCTTTCAGCTGATGTTGGTAGATAGCCGCTGCCATGGCTGTCATGTAGTTAATGTTGTTGTTGTTGTTGTTATTATTATTATTGTTGTTGTTGTTGTTGCTGCCCGCATTAGCATTGTTGTTGCCACTGTTGTTGCTGCCGTTGCTGTTGTTGTTATCGTTCGAGCTCTGCTGTTGTTGCACGCCAGGCGGCATCATGCTGTTGTTGTTATTGTTGTTGTTGCTACTACCATTGAGATGCTGTTGTGATTGCTGCGGTGACGGGCTGTTGTTGGTGCGTTCATGTGCATTGCTATTGTTATTGTAGCCTGTAAGATAAGAGAGAAATACGCATTGATTAGTCGTAATTAAAATAAATATGTTATGTGAGATTGCATATTCAATTATATAAATCTAAGAATATGGAATTCATGCTATTACTATCGGAAATTCTTCACGCTGCATTTATCTTTCAGAAGAATTTCGTTCCAAATTACAGAAACCTATTTGTAAGAGCCTAAGCTAAGTCAAACTTTTCTTAATAAATAATTGTCTTAACTAGAAATTAACTTGTTTGTAATGTAATGTATAGTAATTATTAGTTGAACTTTTATTCAAAATTGAAAAGGAAAACATTTGTATAACAGAAACCGCAGAATAGTTAGTTCTTCCCATATAAAACCATCTAATAATTTTTGTCATTTATTTTCGAGTTCTAATATACTAAAATTAAACTCACTTTGATTTAACTTACTTGAGATTGTGAAAAAATATATTAAAAGTGACCCCAGTAAAAATCGAATATAGAATATATACTATTTCATGTACTCAGTCGTGATGTGTATCTGACAGATGCATCTTCAATTGTTGATATACATTTTCGAATGCAGTGAGTACTGTATTTCAATTTCTGATTTGCTCTGAGGATATTTGAGCAGCGAATGGGGCGTCTCTGTCACGAAAAGAATGCGAGCGCAATCGCTTCGGAAGCCAATCAAAATTCGAAGCGCACACCAATACAAATGCCTCGCGGCCCAATAGATACAAAACACAGATACGAACGCATACATGCACAGTCACATATACACACACACACACACTAGCGAGTGAGCGAGTTGAGCTACCCTCTCTCAATCTAATGTGGCTTGCGAGCGCACGCTACATTAATTGCAAATACGTCGAAATTTAACACGTTTCGACGAATGCGTATGTATGCTATAAGCGTATGTGTGCTATACGAAAACCTGTTGCACACACACAAACACACACATATAATGTGAGACATACATGCGCGCCAGCTGCTGGCTCGCTCGCTCGCTCAGAGCAGTCGCATGGCTCGTACATTCGCGCTCGCTCGCTCGCTGGCTAAAGCTTTGTGCGCTTTCCCATTCGCTCGGCGACGTGGTAATGCGCAGATACAGAGATACAAAACGCTGCCCGTTGGCTGAGGCAACGGGCGGCACTACAACAAAGAGTTAGGTGCCTCCCACGTCTATCCACACAGTGGCGCAGCATCTCCAGCCACTACAAAATGTATCTACAGCTATGTACATCCATCTATCTGACTATCTATCCGAGCATCCATCTATCTATCTAATAGTTAGTCAAGCAAACACTTTTGTTGCTGGTCGCGTTGAGGGCATTTATCGCCAGTTCAATCTCCGCCCCCCTCGTTCGGTCAACTTGTTGCGTGTTTGTTGTTGCTGTTGCTGCTGTCGCTGCGGTTGCTTGCGGGCGTCGCACAAGCAAACACTTGCAAACGAATTACAATTTAATTATGCGTTGAGGGTTGTGCGCACATCTTTGAGCCAGAGCCAAAGCCACTTTTCACACTCCGTCACCTCAATTGTAATTAAAATTGTGCGCCATTTGATGTTCGCAAATATTTGACAAGTCCCAGTCCTATTACCTGAGCTAAAGAAGTTCACATCCGAGTCCGTGTAGTATGAATTGCCAGACGCATGATGCGATGTCGGCGCATAGTCGCCCACAAAGGGCGTCATATCATTAAAGTAGCCCAGACCCAGCGAGGCCGCCGTGGAGCTGCTCAAGGCGCCCGCCAGGCTGCCGATGCCAACGTTGGCGCTGGCGCTCCCAGAGCTGGCAAAGCTGTGCGTGGAGGCGTTCGAGGATGCGCTGGAACTGGAGCCGGATGATGAGGACGCCGTATTGCTGCCCGTGCTGCCGCCGGACAAGCGATGTTGCTGCTGCTGCTGCTGCTGTTGCTGTTGCGCGGGTGAGGCATAGTGCGTATGTTGCTGCTGTTGCTGATGATGCTGCGAGTGCTGTTGGTGCTGCTGCTGATGATGCTGTTGCTGCTGAGGCTGATGCAGATGTTGTTGCTGCTGCTGCTGTTGCTGCTGCTGCTGCTGCTGCTGCTGCGCGGGCAAGAGATGTTGCTGATGTTGCTGCAAATGCACCGTTTGCTGTGGCAAATGATAGCTCGAATAGTTCTCATAGCTCTGTAGCACCATATTTTTCGATGTTGCTGACGTTGTTGAATAGTTGTAGTTGGTTGCCGTTAGGCAGTTGTTGTTGTTGTTGCTGCTCGCTGTATAATGGTGCAAATTTCTGAATTGTAGCTGATCTGCTGCTGTTGCTGCTGCTAATGCTCCTGCTGCTCCTGCTGCTGTTGCTTTGTCGTTATCCGACGCGTTTGCTGCACTGATTATGGTGGCATTAACTAGGAACGCAGAGGGCGGCATTTCTTCGCGTTTTCCAATTGATCAATTGTCAAAAACTGAATGTGAAAAATGCACGTCATTGACTTTTCGAATGGTCCACGGAAAGATGCTGTTGCTGTTGTTGTTGTTGCTGCTGCTGCTTATGTAGTTGCGGCTGTTGTTGTTATATTAAATATGTTCTACACAAAATCAAATCTGCGGGATGCACAAACTGTCAACTCAATTGAAATAGCACCACAAAGAGACAAAGACACGCGCACGCATACGAATTGTAAGTGGATTGGCTGGGATTGGATTGTGGTGCAGCCGCTTTATGCTGGTGGTTCTTGCAGTTGTATTAAAATTGATTTCACTTTTGGTTAATATTTGAGTATTTTAATTTTTGCACTGCTCTTGCTGCTGCTGCCTCTTCTGTAGCTGTAGTTGTTGCTGCTGCTGCTGCTGCTGCTGGATGCGGGTTCTAATCAATTGAGTGGCTTCTAGAATTGGTTCTCATCAGAATAATATATCACGCGCTTAAGTATGCAGATAGATTCTGTGGCATGTGGGCGTTGTTAGCACTTGGGGTATCTTTAGTTATTGTGTTTGATTGTGGTTAGTTAAGAAGCGCCTTTTGTTTAGCTTTTGCTTTACAGATTGTGGATTTATAATTTTGTTTCAGATTCGCACCTATCGCACTCTTGAAATTCTTTTACATTTGCACACTTGTTCAGATTTCTTAAAAATCTTTTCTTAATTGTTATTATTTATCTTCATTCTTTTTGTGTTGTTGTTATTATGTTTATATCATGCGCGCTACGAATTCCGTCGCATTTTGAATTCAGATTAAAATTTAACACTTGCTGGCAATTCGCGCATTTAATGGCAAATAATTGAAGGCAATTCATGAACAAAAATCTCTCTCGCCGCTGCTCAGATGCCTTACATTGTATACACACACACACATATATACACGCACCGAGTTATGTACAGAAGTAAGATGATAAATTAATGCGCAGATCGTACATATTTTATATCGCATATAGTTGTAAACATATTGCTCATTTTAATTCATATTAATTATTCGATAGTAATAATTGAGTTGAGTTTGCTTTTTAAAATTCTTTTTTAGTTGAGCTGTTGCTCGTACAATGGCGCGTATGCGCGATTTTTGTTAGCACACACTGATCACTGATCACTGATCAAATATACGAGCGAACGTTCGGTCGAGCGACGGCAGCTCTTCTACCTTCGACATCCGTTTAAGAACTGAAGTTGCGTTGAAGTTGTGCGTCGTGTTGTTGCCTGGGTCGGCACCATTGTATCAGCGAGCGACGCTGTCTCTGTGTGTGTCTGCATGTGTGCGTGTGTTTGTAGCGCGCTCTCGTATCTCGTCTATTTGTGTGTGTGCGCGCATTCGTGTGTGTCTGCGTGTCAGTGTGGGAGCAACTCGTGTGCTCGCATCGACTTCGTGCGCTCTAGCCGAGCCACACGAGCCACACTCGCACTCACACACACTCGCACACTTGCACTTGGCAATAATAATAATCAAGAGGAAGGCATACTTGCACAGCGCTTACTCACAGATACTCTCTGCCTCTGGGTTAAGTAAGAGTATGTAAAAATATCGAAAAAAAAAACTTTTATAGTCATACACATGCATATGTGTGTGTGGGGATGTGTGTGTGTATCAAAATGTATATCAATTTCTAAATGCGATTGGTCTCCACTTGTTGCGTCCTCTGCAGTCACATTTCGTATTTCGACGGTCGCTAATTAATTTGAACAGTACAGTTGCTATCAAATTAGCCAGCCGAGATCATTAACAACCCAACGCCAACACACGAGAGCAACAACCTGAATATTTTGTGGACCACCAAAATGGCCAGCAATAGCCGAAGCAGCATCAGCCCACAGCCCATAGCCCACTGGTCAGCAGCATTTGAGTGAGTGTGCTGGTGAGCGTGTGTGTATGTGTGTGGGTAGTAGCTCATCGGCGCACAAACGCCAAAATTTTTCGCTGATGGACCACAGAAAAAAAGTATCTCATAGATACGCACACACACACAAACACACACGCACATAATTAGACAAAGTTGGGATTGGCCATCAYTGCCTTCTGCATGAGATCATAGTCCAGCCAGCGAGCCAACCAACCAACCAAACAGCCAACCAAGCGACCGAGCAACCGAGCGATCGGCCAGCAACCCAGTTGCGCTGAAAAGCTGCTGTCGAGTCTTCAACAATACCAAATTAGTTGCCGTCTTTATGATTATTATTATTATTATTTTTCATTTTTATTTTTCTTATTTTTTATTTTTTTTTGTACAATGAAGGCGTACGTGTTTTTGTTGCTGCCATAATTTGTTGAAATGGGAGAAAAAAAGCAAATCTTTAACAGTTATTATTTATGCCTGTGATTAGATAACAGAAAACGACAAAAAAAAAAAAAAAAAAAACACTAAAAATGGTGGCTTATGGAACGTGTTGAAGCGCAATTTGTGGCAACAGCCAATGACAAAATGAAGCGCAATTTACGTATAATGCGAAAAGACACGTTCAACAGCAAATTCAGAAAAACTCGCAAAAAAAAGGAATAAATAAAAATAAACATATAAAAAATACATATACATATAACATATATAAGTGTATATATATTTGCTCAA